GAATTGCTTATCTATGAATACTTTAAGGTGTGAAGATAAATAAAGTAATTCTTTAATGGATTCGTTCCATTTTTTAAAAAAATAGGAAAGAAAAATATTTTAATTAAAAATAAACTACACAAGTATAAATTCTTTTGTAATTGTTAAATGTCTGAAATTCTTGAAACACAAATTCATTCTAGATATCAGTTCTCTTCGGTTAATAATTTATTTAATTGTATATTTACATCCTTGTTATACAATATAAGAGGAAACTAAGCTTGTGTTTTCTCTTATAAGTCCTTTATTTTACTATTCTATAAACTAAATTCTTTTTGTTTTTTCCCCTTATATAAAATTCATAAAATTTAATACAATCAATTTGATTTAAGCTTTATTTATTAAGAGTTTATGAATATTTATGAAAATATCTTGTTAATGACTTTATCTAAATATTTCATCCATAAACAAGTTAGTTTGGGGATCTATAAAATGAAATTCTCAAGAGTGCTTTTCGTATGTATGCTTTCATACCTTGATACTTAATAGTTTGTAATTTGTTTCCTTGGCTTTAAGAAAGATAAATCAACCTAACTCTAACCATCTGAATAACTTTTATATCCGTAATTTTAACTTTGAATATCATAGCCTTGGGTAGTTTTGAAGTTTTGATAATAGTCATAGTGACATTAGCTCTCAATCAAATTTTGTCAAACAGTAAGTAACTCTAGAATTTTTTTATTATTATTATTTATTTTTCTTTTTTTCATTTGGAAGATTTTATACTAAAATTCTCGAAATTTTAAGTATATTATTTCTTTTCCTTCTTCTACTTCTCACAAATGAAGTAAAGAAAAATTAGATTTTTACACGAAAATAAATCACTTTTAACGTATCTTCCTTCATCAACAAAAATGGTATAATCTATGAATATAGATTTCAGATACAATCTAAGAAAGTGGGTTCCTTTGATATAGATTTCAGGTATCCTTCAAGATTATTGACTCCCTAATATAGATTAGAGTTGCACTCAAAGATACTTTTGATGTAAATTCCAGGTAATCTTCAAAAGAAAAAAAAACAAAAAAAAACAACATATAGATTTCTACATTTGTGTATAATACACGACAAGATTTTTATTTATTATTTATTTATTTAAAGTCTTTCAAGTGCGCTTTCTTGTTATCACAATATTATTGAAGAGGCAAGCTTCAAACGTTCAGTCTTTGAAATGAGATTTGTTAGAGGCCATTTTCTAGGCATGTTTTTTTTTTTTTCTTTTTTAGTTTTCAATTATAGGCCCTACTCGAAACAGACAAGAAATTCATCCAAAAAAATATGTATATTTTAGGAATAACCTACAAAAAAAAATCTAACAGAACAGATTCTTAGCTTACGAAGCCATTAATCTTCCCATCAAATTTTATCCGCCATGACATTTAGTTTCAAAATTGTCGATAAGATAGGCAAACAGGTAAGCTCATTTTTAAAGCGTTTTCCATACCAGAACGAATAACATGCTTCGGTATATGAAAAGTAATAAAAATTGTATTATCACCCAAGGAAAAAAACATATTTATAAAGTCATAAAGTATGCTATTCTGTATTCTTTCATGTAAGGCGCACTTTTTATATATCCAATATATATTATGATACAACGGGAAAGAGCATGCAAAAAATTTTATTTTATATCTTCTTTTTTTTTTACAAAAATATTATGCAGAAAATAAAACATCATACTCTTCTTCTTAAAAGCAAAGTAAAATCCTGTTCGGAATGAAAACTGAATATGGAATCTTATTGTGGTCGATATTTTTGGTTGCTTAGCTTTGTTTACAAAAACTAAGGAACATATATATATATATATATATATATATATATAAAGCTAAGATTTTTAGCTACATAAAGGAAGTAAAAACAGCATTTTGTATAGGAAAGGCACTTAAAATAATAAGCATAAAATTCGATCAATCTTATAGTTCAACCCGATATTCATCTTCCACAGATATGAATTACTTATTTATCTGCTTACCCGAAATATATTTTATAAGCCAATTTTTTCTTTTTCTTTTTTTAAACTAAAGACAAGACTATTTTTATCTTTATAGAAGTAATTGATTTCTTTCTAGTTTTACATTAAACAATGTTTTTTTTTTTTTAATTTAAAATTATCTGTTTAATTTCTTAGTCACACTCTTACTTCTTTTATCAAATCTTAATAGAAATATTTCCTCTTAAAATTATTAAAATAAAAAATTTTCCATTTCAAACAATAAAATATTAACAGAAAATTCTGTTAAAAGATAAAATTATTTTACATAAAAAATAAGATTTTAACAACTGTCTTTTGGTATTTTAAATCTAAATGAAAATTAAATAATAAATAAATACATAAATTAATACATATATATTAATAATAGTCTACAGCTAAATTAATAGGGAAAAAAGGTAGCAATTCTTCCCTACTTTAAAAAAATAATAATAATAATAATTAATATTAAAGTTCAAATTTATTTATAAAATAATATTAACCGATCTTAGCTACTAAAATATTTACAAATTTCATAATAATAATAATAATAATAATAATATGAATATGAATAATAGATGTTGGGTAAATAGTATTTTACATATTTCTTCATTGATATTTTCCTTTTTTTTAACCTTGATATAAAATAAATGTTCTAGTTTAAAGTTTATTTTATTTATTTTTTTTCGATTTCAAATTTTATGCCTAAAAATCAATACATATATTAAAATTCATGTAAGAAAAATCAAGATCTGTAAACACTTTTATATTTATGTCAATATTAAAAAATATATAAATTTGATTTCCGTTATTCATACATAATTATTTTTATCGAAAAATCAGTATTGTTATAACAACAATTAAATCAAGTACAAGTTAATATCTGTTAATAAAGCTGTCAATTTGGTGATAGTATTAATGGCTCTAGTTAAATTCCTAAGATTATTAATGTAGACGAAAATTCCTTATTGCTTTATAGATCGAAGCATGATAGGAAGACGGAAAGGGGGAAAAAAATCGAAAGATGGAAGAAAACTTTAGGAAATACTGCTAGCCATTCTTCACATTCCTTTAAGTCTGGAATCGAAGTCTCAGTGGAAAACAAAAGAAAGCACTACAGAAGACAAATACTACCTGTAACTATACTTTGTTCACTGCACGGACGTTTAGGACCCAATCTTTCAGAAGGAACAAACACGGCAAACTAAGGTCAAAATGAACGACCGATGTTGAAGCTCACGGGTATAATATAAACCCAACAAGAGATAAATTAGGCAATCGCCATCCCTTTTGTTACCATCTCTATCCCAATAGAACGACATTTCCAAGAACTGAATAACACTACCTTATATTACGTATATATTAGGTTTTACATTTCCCCCTTCTCATAAGTTTTTCTTGTAAGCTTCTATCTTTTTTTTTGAATGTAATAATGTTATGTGAATATTCGCTTTGATATTATATATTTACTAGCAACTGTCTAAATAATTGATTTATCGTATATTGTCACTTGACATTTTCCGAATTATTATCCATGCAAAAGACGTATAACGTGAAGAATATTTTGTGGCATCTTTTAAAGATACATACTATATATAAAAGTAACCTTAATTCTATCTTTAAAATTCTTGCTACTATAGAAGGTTATTTACGATTATCGTTAGTTATGGTTAAGGAAATCTGATAGAAAGTAATAAAAAAGAAAATACGTTTAATCAGATTAGAGGTTAGTTTTCGTTAATTTTTTATTATTAGAGCCGAAAATTAAGTTATAGATCGTGTCTGCTTCGAAGCTCCGTAAATATTGGCTTGTGTGTGTGTATATATATGTAAATATGTTTTTATTGTCGTTTAATATATTCACATAGCAAAATTCTTTTGTAGTATCGATTGGGTTTTACAATATGTTTATCACGTTCGATTTTACTTTGAATATTATAAGTAGAGATAAAAGTATGGAATTTTTTTCTTATTTCTTTTTTCTGATGATGAAATATGCCTACTTACCCATCAACAGAAAGGATAGATATGTTTGTGACTATAAAATCGATCTATTCCTTTAGTCGATGACGAGCAACAAGTTCCAAATGTCGAACTCTTTTATGAAACCTATGATATCGTAAAGCGTGTTTCTATCGAATAATATTTTTGTAAAAATACATTATGTTCTGTTTCTCACTTGCCCGAAACAAAACGACAATCCAACATCATCACTCAATGTCACAGAACTTCATAAAATACTGTTTTTATACGGTATAAAAACAGCCTGCAGTATACTAGAGATGTCTTTTTTCCTTATTTTTGCTAAGAAGAGGTTCGATTTGCAATGGTCATCGTTAATATTTGTCAAAAATCTTCTTTGCTTCTACGTCTTTCCTTCTATTCTAAACTTACTTTTTATTTTATTTTATTATTATTATTTTTTTAAAGTAACTTAAAAAGAATAAGAGTAATATATATATATATTTTTACAGTAAAAGATTATAAACTCTTATGGTTCTGTTTAAGAAAATTATTATTATAATTAAATGCAAAGCTTATATCGATCAAGGGATTTTATAATATTCCGTCTACACGCGTTAACTTGTTAGTATAATCAGATGAGAGGATAAAAATGTATATATTTATTTATATTTGACCATTAGAAGTGGTATTTTGATTAATTAGCGATGGTCACGCAGAAATGTTGCTTGTTCGTGTCACGTTAAAGATGAACGCTATTGTGGATAGGAAATTTTTCTCTCAATGAAAGAAATTTTCCTTAATTGGATTCTTAAATCGATTTACTGAAAACGTTAAACAATGTAGATAACAAGCAAACTTTTCAAATCTTATATCTGCTTTTTTTTCCCCCCTACTTATTTATGTTTACCGTACATTCGGCGATGGTAAAACATTAATTCGAAGCAGGTAATAAAGTTAATGCCGCTTCAGGAGTATACCAGTAAATACAAACAACATAAAAATATAAGAAAGAAAGCTCTCTACTCACCTACTGCTGGAGCATAAATGTTGAGATAGAGACAATCTTCACTCTGGTTGACAAGATAAGGTAGAAGTCTGCGAAGATACTGTAGACGACCGGAAGGCATCTTACGTAGAGCTTCCGTTTCATTAGTAATATCCGGAAGACGTTGAGGACAGACGGAACCGAACTGGTCCGCATTCTTGACACCTTTCCAATGGGGTGGAGTAACCGGTGGCATAAACCGTAATGAGCCCACAGGTGCACTAGCATACGGAACTCCCAAAAATACTTCGACAGATTGTAATTTATGATTCGAAAGCGTTCCAATGGAACCTCGGAGAGCACCGTATTTAGTGGTCACCACACGCGAACTCAAACGATGTAGATCCGATGTGACCAATTGGTACATCTTCACCACAACCATCAATTCCAGAATGAAATGCGTCTGGACTATCATCATCGAATTTCAGCTGTTTAGTTTCCTTCTACTTTTATGTCGTATACAGTCACCAGAACGTTCCACCATAATTAACACTTATTACCAATTATATACACATACATATATATACGTGTGTTATACATATATATATATATATATATATACATACACACACCTCATTAAAAAAACATCAGAAAAAATTTTTTTCCTCTTCTTCTTCTTTTTTTTAGTACAAGAAACAGTCATAAAAAGATTGTAAAACGTTCTCTTTGTATAGTTCTTTTAGAAAAAGCACGAATTAAATTTTTAAAAACTGTTTTGTATGGTTAAAGAAGATAGAAAATAAAACAATACCTTTCGCACTACAGCGTCATATTCGGCTTCTATCGTCTCTCAATGCACTCTGCCGTCTTATGTTGTAGAATAACGAACCAATCTGTTCGACGCATGCGTCTAACAGACGGACCTCGTTCACTGGTTAGAAAATAGGGTTGGGAAACTATTCTCAGTTTTCTTCAGTACACCAAACCATTCAATTGTTAAGAGAGGGGCAAGAAAAACAAGTTTAATGCCTCGCTGTGTGTTGGATACTCGTAATATATGGTTACTCTTTAAGAATACCGAAAAATATTCAGAATAGGCCGTTATCAACACGAATTGTAAATCATTTCCACCTTCCTCCATCCATCTTTTCTATCGATTTGATTTTCGCTGACAAGATTACCGAGGAAAACACGAAATTTGTACAGATACATTCTTTAATTTAAAAATCCTTACTTAAGTTAGATACTCTCTGTCTTATAATTAATTTACATAAACGGGATTTATCCAATCCTGACGGTCGATTAAATTAGGATATCCTCCAAGTAAACCTGATCCTAAGATGGTGATGAGTATCGATATCGGAATAGAGATAGGAAAAGAAAATCTAGAAGAGAAGCATAGAGTAAAAGAAGGGAATGGAGATGAATATCAATACAAAGATGCGAACTGAATCTCTCAAGAAAAAAAATTTTTAAATCGGTTTTAAAAAAAATAAGATAAAAGAAATAAACACGATAGAACAGAAAAATGGCAGATAAGAATCAATAGAATAAATAAGAAAAGATTAATTTCTTTAAAAACCGAGATATCGAAAGGTACCTAAGAGAAAAAAAACAAGAAAAAATTATCTATATATAAAAGATGAAAGATATATATCATTCTGGCATCTTAGAAATATCTTGTTTAATCTTAAGAATACGTAATCCTATTAAATAATTACGTTTTAATACCTAGGAAAATGGTTAAATTAGATCAAGTCGAGTTACAGAAAGTCTCGTAAAAAGAAAAACGAGTGGAAAAATGATAGCAGACACTCCTTAATAACAATTACTCAACCCAAATATCAAGTTAAAGAAAGATAAATTTCCGACAAGAAATAAACTGACGAAATAGGGGGTTATTATCTCATTATCTAAAAATCAATAATAATTTTACTAAACGTATACGTGTGTTAAATGTAATCTATTTACGCCTTAAATTCGAATATAATTTTATAAATTAAAAGTTAAAAATTCCTTTTTTTTTTGTTTTTAAATTCATTCTATAAATATTTGAGAGCTTTTTTTTTCGGACGTCTTATTTTATCGAGTCATGAATTACAACGAAGATCTCTTCTTTGGCTTCTGGAGTCGATGTAAAGAGGTGATGATTTAGAGAGAACGTTGAAAGATCGGGCAACAAGACAATAGAGCATTGGACAGCCGGAGGATGAACAACCACCACTTTAAATCGTTGTCAAACTTTCCCCATGGCAAACAGCCATCTCGACCTATCTATAGTCCCCGCAGGGAGTATTAAGAAATATTTCTTTTACCTTAAATTTCACGTATATTATACAGGAAAGCGTTATGAGAACGTAAGCATCTACATCAAAAATCTTTCCTGTGATATTTTATTAAATAATTAAATGCGTTACATTATTGAGCGTTAATTATTCGTAAAGAAAAGCCTTTAAACAGTGTTAACATATCGTTAAAAATGGATACACGCCATTAAATAGTTAGCTTTTTTTTCAAAAATAATTTTTCTATAAAAATATTGCTTTAAGCAGATTACAATTAATAATTCATCGCTAAATTATTATATATATATTTTTTTTAATCAAAAAAATATGTAATGTTATTTAAAAATATTTAAATAACTCTTACTTTAAAAAAAGAAGAAGAAAATAAAAATAGAAAATTGTATTTTTAGTAAAAATAATTTGAGATAAATTGATTTATATTATGCCAATACAGCTATTTATCTATAATTATTCAGAAAAAAAATTTATAAGAAGAAAGGAAAAAAAAATAGAAACATTATCATTTTACATTACTAAATTTCTCTCTCTTCAAATTAAAAATAGCAATATAATTGAGTGATTTAATAAAACATTTTTTGCTCTCTAAAAATTATTTCTCTTACAAATTAGTTAATAATTTATCACTTAAATTTCTAATGTAAAAATAATATTAAAAAAAATTTTTTTAAATTAACTCTTAGGGAAAAAATACAGATTTTTTAAAAAATATTCTTTTGAATAAATAAGGAACGTGGTACAAAATAAATTCTTATCAAATAAAATAAAAGCATTCATTAAATTATTCATTGTAATCATTCAACAGAGAAAGCATTTTTTAATGATAACATATTGTTTTACAGACAAGTTTTGCGTATAAAAACAAAAAATAATTTTATTTAATATATATATATAATATAAACAATAAAACTGACAAATTCAATAAAAGGAATTGTTTTAATAAACATTAAAAAAAGAAATTCTTTTGTTTATAAATTTTGTAATCCATCATCATTCAAATCCCAATTGTAAAAAGTATTCAAAATAAATAAATAATCAGGTTTGTCGCTTTGTATTATAATTATTTTTTAAATAAAATTTAAATATATATATATATATAAGAAACACGATGTAGAATCAATTTATAAAGTAACTATCGAAAAATTGATAAATTCAATTTTCTACATTTTAATAGTGGTGAAGTATGCAATTAAATACTTATAATGAGATTAAAGAGATTATTAAAGTTGTGAGAACAAAATTAATCAATCTTTCAATCTTGATCGTTAAAGATTACTTAAATTTTCTTTAAAAGAATTTTAAAATTGAAACAGTAGGATATCATCAAAGGAAAATTGTAACTCTTTAATGCATAAAAGATTAAAAAAAATGAAAAAAAAAAGGAAAAAAGAAAAATTATATTCTACTGAAAATCATACCGTAATATTTTTCTTAACTGAATAAATGCGAGACAATGGAAACAAACAAAATTCCCTCGAGAATAACGTTTACGCACAAAATGGATAGAAAGAATGGGAGGGAAAAGTACTTTCTTTGTTGGTAACAATAAGACTAGATAAAGAATAAATTGTTCTTTTAGTTCCTTACTAACATGCCTGCTTTATAACCAATGTAATCATTCCTTATCCATCAATAAATATAAGTTTAAAGAACTTTTAAAGTTTCAAAATAAAAATAAAAATTTAAAAAAAAAAGTATTTCGTCCATTGATTTTCGAGACTTGTTTTCTAAGTTGTTTGAAAATTTTTCTTAAGAACTTGACATGGTTCGGTCTGGAGCGTCGTTTAATTTCGTTTTCACTTAAGTAGATTTTGAGAAAACTTTTCTTTCTCCATAGACAAGCGTTGCGAGTAAGAGATGTTGTTAGTGTGACGTTCTTCGTAAAGGCGGAGAGATTCGACCAGTCTTAGAATATTTCACGATTTTAAAAGAACAAGTTGACACTCTTATTCCATTTTCAGACTGAAGAAAATGTTAGAAGATCGACGGTTTCAGACAGTAAGTAAGAGGTCGTCAGTTCTACACGTCATGAGGATGATCCGCTGAGACCATTAGAGTGCATTACGATCTATTGTTGCCCATGCATTTTTTTCCTTCTGTTCTGAGCTTTCTTGTTTCTCAACTTCACCACAGTTCCGGTAATTTCTTTTTAAAACGGATTAGTTGGCTTTCTGTAATAAAATTCTGCACGGGAACGTAAATCCTATTCTACTTTTTAATATTCATCCTTATTTACAACGTCTTTTATAAGAGGTTAAATGGGGATTCATATAAAAATTTACATAACCGTAGCTACTACATAATATATATATATATATATTTTTTTTTTATTTGTGATTTTATTATTATAAAGGCGCTATATGTATATACACTTATGAAATTTAGCAGCAAGGATTCCTCATCTTAGGCTATTGTAGAGATGGATCATAGCTTCAATTCAGAGTAGACTGTCTACAGCATTACGGGAAGTACAGTATAATTTGAAAAGAATCGATCTGATTATGAAAATCAAATTACTCCTCTGATCAGTTACAGTTCTGTTGAAGGACGTTCAGGAAAATCAATATCACATACTAAGAGATTATATCTTTTTACATTCATGATTATTCTTGAATTTCTCTCAAAATTAAGACTTAAAAAATAAAAGAAAAATATTAGAATGCGTGTGAAAAAGTCAAAACTAGTCAAGATTAAACTTTAATTCAAGAACGAAGAATAAACGAACAAATTTTAATAAAATTTAACTAAGAAAAAGTTATGATTTTGTTCAAGATTAAAAGAGACTACATTAAGAAAATAAACGTAATTAAAAAATAAAATAAAACAAATTTTAAATTTTTAAATAAACCTTTCTGAAAAGTTAATCTAACCAAAAAACGAAAAAAAAAATATATTAATAATTAAATTTGATTATAAAATTTCTCACATATTCTTTTTGAAACTATTCCACTTCATAAATTGAGATGTTTCCTTCCAATAGAGTGATTTCCGAATTACCGCATTTCTATTTGTCTTTCATTATTTACTTTCTTGTCTCAGCCGTAGCTTCGGTTCCAGTAAGAGAATTAGTACAAGTCTTACTTGATGCGTGTCAGGAAAGGCGTACTCAAATTACATAGACCTGAGCACAGACAATGTCCAACTATCCTTCGGTCGTTCGTTTACTGTCAGGCCATTCGATGACATTATCACAATCCAACCATCACAACATTAACGTTCCTGACGCATTTTGTAGATTTAATTCTGTTCGTGACCGTTCCACTACCTGTACCAATGTTTTTTGCTTGTTTTTTTTTACCGTCAATTCCCTGGAGGAAGATAAATAAAAATCATTATGGCATTCTTTACTTCTATTGCTTTCTCTCTCTCTCTCTTTTACTCTTTTATATCAATTTTATCTTCCATTCAAAGCTACAAACCCGAAATTATTAATAGAATTATTTAAATTTATCATTTGCCTCAGACCATCGTCTCTTTTATTCTCTTTGGTATAAAGCTACTACTCATCTGCATATCAGTTTATCGCCTTAAGTGGATTTCTCTCAAATGGTAGTTTCATTTAAAATTTTAATGCGTACTGATTGAGTGCTGAAGGTGCTCAATTGGTCTTTAGTTTCCTTTGAAAGTTGGGACAAATTTTAAATCGCGATAAGAGCCCGAATATTATTAATATTTTGCTATCTTTTATAATTATTTAAATACATTATCGACGGTTCTAAGTAAATAATTTTACTTCTTCTTTTTTGGTAATATTTTCTATTCTCATTTTCTGTTGTTGTTGAAGCTCTTTC